TGGGCACTTTGGATTTTCAGTCAATTCYGAAGTTAAAGGAAAAGCAAAATAAACCAAGAGCTACAGGGAAACAATGAAAAGGCCCAATTTCATAACCTGAGCCCAAAGCCGGCAGGGGCTGCTCCTGCCAGKGGCTGAAATCTCTGGCTGAAAAATTCCTTCTAAAGCCCTGAATRTCCAGGGAAWCCAAAGAAAATCCAAAGCAGCTCAYGGCAGAGGCCATTTCAGGCAGGGGGATGAGATCATAAAGAACAAATCATGGAGTGGGTTGGGGTAGAAAGGAGATCAAAACTCATCTTGTGCCACCCCAGGGACCCCTCCCACTGTCCCAGGTGCTCCCAGCCCCAATGTCCAGCCTGGCCTTGGGCACTCAAAGGGATCCAGGGGCAGCCACAGCTGCTCTGGGAATTCCATCCCAGCCCCTCCCCACCCTCCCAGGGAACAATCCCTTCCCAATATCCCATCCATCCCTGCCCTCTGGCACTGGGAAGCCATTCCCTGTGTCCTGTCCCTCCAGCCCTTGGCCCCAGTCCCTCTCCAGCTCTCCTGGAGCCCCTTGAGGCCCCAAAAGGGGCTCTGAGGTGTCCTTGGAGCCGTTTGGGAATTTTGCACAGGCTCTGGCAGGTGGGACAGCAGGTGACAGGGGACAAAGTGAAACACCTGCCATCAAATAACCCCAACTGTGGCACCTCCCCTGTCAGTGGCTGCTCCACAGGCTCAGGTCAGGTTGAGCACAGAGAAAGTTTCTCAACAACAATCCCTGGATGGATCTCAGTGAGGGCAAGTTTGTCATCATCGCCAGTGGAACGCCAGGGCTGGGAACACCAGGGATACAGTGGGGACAGAGCAGGGACACAGTGGGGACACAGCAGTCACCTGTGGGGGACAGGGCTCACCTGGGAGACCAGGAGGGGACAGAACTCACATGGGTGACCATGGAGGGACAGAACTCACCTGGGACATTAGGAGGGGACAGAACTCACATGGGTGACCATGGAGGGACAGAACTCACCTGCCTGAGCCGCAGAGGAGCTGATGATGACAGGGGCAGGTGCCACCAGGCGCACCGGGGCCCCCAGGCCGTTCCTGGCACCGGCGTTGACCACAAGGGCCCCGGTCTGGTCGTAGTAGGCAGCGGGAGCCAGCACGGGGTACCCTGYAGGGGAACAGGGCAGGTGACACACAGCTCAGCCAGCCCCAGGTGACTTTTGAAAAGAAAATCAGAGCGGGGAAAGGAAGCACAACAGCCCCAAAAAACCCCAGAGCTTTACAGCAGATAAGGGTTCCAGGTAGGRAAGACTCATCCTCCCTAAACCTTTTAAACCCCACTGCTCTCAGTGTAAATTCTGCTGAAAAAGGGTTTAWAACAGAAAAGCACCATTTCTGTTCCACTGTCAGTACAATGTGTGCTGGGATTTTTCCGAGTTGGGAACACCCTGTATGTCCTGCTCTGAGCTGGGGCTGCCAGGCTGGACCCATGGGGAACTGAAAGTCACGAATTTTGGAAGGTCGGTGTCATAAAATCTCCTTCAATGTAGGTAAATAAACACTCCTGTGTGCTGCTGACACTCACTGCAACAGGCTCAGTAGAATAAAACGATTAAGGCACCTCATTATGGAATTCCACATTAAATGGAAACATTGAAATGAAATCCAGTGACTCTCCAAGGTGGGGAGGTCACTGAGAACATTCTGCTGTGAGTATCTGCTTTGCAAATGTAGGTCCCAACATATACAATATATCATTGTAAATAGATGTGTATTTGCTTTGCAAATCCAACCCAAATAACTCAGATTAAAGGAAAACTACAGAGTTCACTTCATAACTTGATACTGCAAATTTCTTCTTAAGCAATAAAAAACCCCATTAACAACCACATGACACCACCAGCAAGGAGACTTCAAACCCAAAGAATCTTTTATCCTCACATTTAACCATTTCTGCACATCATTGCAATGGGCTCAGGTTTGTCCTCTGCCATTACAATAATAAYCTGAATAACTGAATAATGGCAGCAGCATTTTCCCCACAGCCTCAGGGATCAGARGCAGAATTCCTACAGCAGCTCCTCCAATGAAGAGACAGAAATGAGAGCTAAACCCTGCTCCCTTTGATCCCTTTCTTTCCCTGGTTTAAGCCAAGGGAAGAAGAGCAATCAGGGAGGGAAATCCCCTGYTAAGCCACAGATCGAACAGCAACGGAGAGCTGAGATCATGGACAGGACTGAGAAACCTCTGAGGTTTAAAGCACAGATCCCATGAGCTGGAATGATCCACAGGAAAATCTGGAGGAGATGTCCCACAGGAGCCATTGATTCCTGGAGCACAGGGCACTCACAGGGCAGTCCCACTGCGGTCACAGTGTCACAGGGCCACCAGGACCCCCAGTTTAACCCTAGGGACACCCCCAACACTCAGGTGGAGCTCTAGATCAACCCCAAAGCAGCACAGCCAAGCTCTATAGGTGCAGCCCCACGAGCCCCCATTGCCCAGCCCTCCCCAGCCCTGGCAGTGCCCRTACCTGGCATCCCGGCCGCCAGCCCCTGGCCGAAGGCGAGCGCTGAGTTGACGGCGGCAGCGGCCACCAGCGGGTCTGTCTGCTGGCCCTGCTGGTTCTGGTTGGGGGTCAAGGGCCGCTGGCTGGCTCCTCCACGGAGTACCTGCAGGAACAGGGACAGCCAGGGGTTAGTGGGGATCTGGGGGCGAGCCACGGGCACCGGGCAGGGGCAGCACCAGCAGAGGGGGCACCCACTCTTTCCTTTTCCTCTCTCCCTGGCATTTCAGGAGGGGCTGGAGCATGTCCAGGGCATGGAACAGGGCTGGGGAAGGGGCTGGAAGGGCTGGGTGAGCTGGGAAAGGGGCTCAGGCTGGAGCAAAGGCGGATCAGGGGCGACCTTGTGGCTCTGCACAACTCCCTGACAGGAGGGGGCAGCCGGGGGGGTCGGGCTCTGCTCCAGGGAACAGGGACAGGAGGAGAGGGAACGGCCTCAGGCTGCACCAGGACAGGGGGGACATCGGGGACAATTCCTTCCCTCGAAGGGTGGCCAGGCTGTGGAACTGCCCAGGTCAGGGGGGATCCCCATCCCTGAAGTGTCCAAACTCACTGGGATGTGGTGCCTGGAACCGGGGCAGGGCTGGGTTAATGCTCGGACTCAATGATCTCCAGAGGCTTTTCCAACCTTTCCATTCCCTGATCCCAGCTCCAACCCCCAGCTCTGTCACAAGTGCTCATGAGCCACCTGTCCCCCCCAGSCAGCATTTGGTCCCATGACCAAACYCTCACTAAAATCCCTCTGGAGCAGAAACCTTTCRAAAGCCCAACTGAGGAGCCGGGGGYRGYRCCARGAGGGGACCTGGGGCTCCCCACACACCCGGTGACACCAGAAATCCTCCCAGGAACACTGCCCAAGGAACTCTTGTGGGGTTGGCACCCAGGAACTTATGGGGCTGTGCTCTCCCCATGAAGGGATGATGGCAAAGGGGCTTTTCCTGCACTGTCTGGGACAGGCTGGGTTTGCCCAAGCCTCGCCCAGGAGACGATTTTAGCCCTCCCCGTGTGCTCAGCACGTCCTTGCCAAGGTGACATCTTGGGGAGGGCATCACCTGCTCCAGTTATCAGCAGGAAAAACTGAATTTGTGCAGGGAGAAGCTGAAAAAGACCCTGAGATTCACCCATCTGGGTGTGCYCCCTGAGCCTGGYTGRGAGCCCTCCAGCCCAGGAATGTCCRGGAGCCAGGAATCCCAGGGGTGCAGCACAGGAATGCTGCTGGGTTTTATTGAGGCACTTGTAAGATGTCACAAGGGTCACAAATCGTGTCCACAATCAGGTTCCCAAAGCCTTTCCTCAGCACTTTTAACACAAACAATCCCCTCTCCATCCCTTCCCCATGGGAGGCTGGCACTCCAAACCTGCTCCCAGCCCCGCTCAGCTGCTCCATGGCCATAAAAGTAATGAAAAGCCCCATAAAGGCCCCTGGCACCACGATGTTTTATTTTAACAGCCTGGGCCTTTGCAGTTCTCTCAGCTCGTGCCTGCTGCCTCTGCCAAGGCCCTGTAACACCTCCCAGCACCGGGGCTGGGTGTCAGAGGTGAAAATTCAACTGCCAGCTGCTGTTTGTTGTGCCAGCCCATCACCAGGGACCAGGCAGGAGYGGGGCTCAGGGCACTGAACCCCAACTCTGATGATTCCTCCTCACACCCCACAAAGCCCCTCGGCTTTGCTGCTGCACAGCTCAGGCCATTCTCAGCCTGATACACTGAGGCTTTCCAAAGCACTGGCATCCCATAACTCACCCTCACCAATGGAGTGTCACACTCCCCCTGTGTGGATAAATCAAATATCAAATGCACGGATGGCTCTTGTTCTTTTTCAGGAGAGGTCAAAGGGTTTTCTCCTGATTTAAAAACTACTCAGAGCTGAGGTCAGGAGCAGCCATGGAAAAAAATGAGTGTTTTGCATGGCTGGAAAAGATCTTTGGGATCATCGAGTCCAACTTGTGACCCCCCTGTCACCARCCCATGGCACCGAGTGCTGTCCCTAAACACCTCCAGGGATGGGGGCTGGGCACCCCTTTCCAACAGCCAGMCACCCCTTCTGGGAAGGAATTCCTCCTGTTTTTTGCCCAGAAGGAGTGGGCATGGGAATGGGCACAGGAATAGGAATGGGCACAGAAATGGGAATGGGAATGGAAAGGGGAACAGGAATGAGCACAGGAATGGGAATGGGCACAGGAATGGAAAGGGGAACGGGAATGGGCACAGGAATGGGAATAGGAATGGAAGGGGAACAGGAATGGGAACAGGCATAGGAATGGAAAGTGGAATTGGCACAGGAATGGGAACAGAAATAGGTACAGGAATGGGAATGGGAACAGTCCCAGTCCCAAAGCTACCAGAGCTCGGGGAGCATTTGGATGACAGTTCCAGGGTGGGATTGCTGGGGGTTCTATGCAGGACCCGGGGTCGGATCCACGATCACTGGGGGGTCTCTCCCAGCTGGGGACACTGGCAGTGCCCAGCTCAGCCCCCGGGCAGTGCCCAGGCCTTACCTGCTGCTGGCCCTGCTGTGTCTGCTGCGTGCTCTGCTGGTTGGCCGAGTTGGTGGCGGCGGCGGCGGCGGCCGCTTGCTGCTGGAACAGGCTGGCGGGATAAACGCCCCAGGGAGTGACTCCATAGTACTGGTGAGGGACCACGGCYGGGCCTGCAACACAGGGCTGCCTCAGCTCCGGGGAATGGGGCACCCAGCACCCCACAAACACCTGCCCATGGCGGGGGTTTAAATGGGATCTGCAGGAAACCCTCTGCAAACACCGAGGAATTCCGGCACGGCGCCGCAGGGATTCAGCCATTTGTCTCACACATTGTATGAAGTTTCCAAGCCAGACCTGGAATTCCACCAAAGTTTCCAGACCAGACCTGGAATTCCATCAAAGTTTCCAAGCCAGACCTGGAATTCCATCAAAGTTTCCACACCAGACCTGGAATTCCATCAAAGTTTCCACACCAGACCTGGAATTCCATCAAAGTTTCCACACCAGACGTGAAATTCCACCAAAGTTTCCAAGCCAGACCTGGAATTCCATCATTCCTTACTCACTGCATGAGATGAAGCTCTGCCAGCAGTGGTTCCTTGTTTTTATGATTTTTATCGCTGTGCCCTGATTTTATAAGGAAGGAAGGAACTTTATCTCAAACCCAAACCTTGTTCATCTCTGCTGCCATCCACAGCTTGGTGCCGTACACCATTCAGCTCCTCAGGGAACCCCTAAACCCTCTTCCCAGCTGAACACAACAAWTCCCAAGTGTTTCAAATGTTCTTTTTCCAGCCACTCAGCCCTGCTTGGCATCTGCAAACCCTGCTGAAAAGAGGCTGCAAGATCCTGTCACTCCCCATGTTCCCTCCTCAAACTTCACATTCCCTCCTCAAACTTAAGAGGCTTAAAAAACCAATAAAAAAACCCAAACCCATAATAAAAATAATAACTGTAATAGTAATAATACTAATGACACTAATATTAATAATGATAATAATAATAAATAATAATAAAATAATTTTAAAAAATAAATTATCATCTTGGGGAGCAGCAGAAAAAGCCTCACTTTTGAGTATTCTTTGTGTTTCTGACCACTCAGATCTGAGATAGCAGAATGGCAGCTTCCATCCTTAAATAATCCCAATTGGAATAATCCCAGGAAGCTCTCTGATCTGGAGGGAGGAGCCATTCCCATCAAATAACATGGATGGGGATCCAATAATATTTTTTAAATATTGTTTGATATCCTTAGCAAAGGTCAGCAGGAGAGCAGAGGTGTTTCKTCTGTCCCATGGGCTGCAGGAATAACTCAGGCCACAGCAGGCAGGGCCATAGTGAGGTGGGACTGGAATAAACAATCTTTTGGGAATTTTGGTCATATCTGGAGTGAAAAYAGGGATTTTTTCTAAAGAGAGACACCAAGCACTTGGGTTCTGAGCAAGCCTGTAATTCCATGGAAAGTGAGGGATGGCACAAAAAGGGAGCTGCAAACAGGCAAGGCTGAGTGCTCATTGTCAGCCTGGGTGTGACAGAGGGGGAGAACCCTGGAGGTGCCCTTTCGGTTTTTGTTCCTTTCTCCTTTATTTTTTTACAGCTGTTTGAGCTGTTTGGCTCAGCTGAGTTCCCTCAGGACACCAAAGATTTGCAAGCAGCTTGTGCTCCCACCCCCAGGCTGCAGCAGCATTCTGGGATGTTCATCAGGATATTTGTCCTGTCTCTCAAGCCAAATATTAAATCCACATTTCAAACACGTCAAGAGCTCCTGTCCTTGTTTTACTCTGGTTTTTCCTACTGTGCTTTCCCCACATTTCTGACCGAGGTGCCCAGCAGGGCGGTGCTGGCTGATCCCAGGGAGTTGTTGAACACCCAGATTTGTGTCTCACCCCAAAGCCCTGCCCCACAGCCCATCCTGGCTGCATTTACAGAGGGTCACCTGCCTCTCTTACTCAAACCCAGACCAGCAAACACTCACTTCTTACCTCCCACCCTGGAAACTGGTGAGAAGCAGTGGCTGAAATTGAAAAAACCTGCAGCAAATGACTCAGTGGCACAAGGGCAGTGCCTGCTGTGACCCCAGTGGGCACAGACAGGTACCAGGCAGTGACCATAACCTGCTCATAACCTGTTAAAAACCTGCTCAAAATCACTGAATGCACATCAGACCCCAAATCCTGGGGTTCTCCTGCACCCAGCAGGGAAAGAGCTTCCAAAGGAATGAGAAGGGAGAGTCTTTACACACAAACTGTGACTCCGGGGGTAAGATTAAGATCGATACTGGGAGAGAGAAGGGATCAATGGGAAGGATTTCCATGGGAATTCCATTGATTGACCAACCCCTGACTGTGTTAATGAACTCCAGGAGCACAGACAGAAGAGAAAGAAGAAAGGAGGGATGTACATTAAAGGGGGATGTGTGTTAGCAGGGGGTTTGTGTTAGGGAATTTGGGAATTCTGCACCTCTCAAGCACCTCAGCCAATAGGGAAAGAGAGAGGGAACTGCAGACAGGAAATTGGGATAAAAGAGGCTGTGTCCTCCAACAATGAGAGACCCCACAGAAATGTCCCATGGCCTCTCCCTTTATTCATGAATAAAGTCACAGGATTCCTCTGTCTCCTTTTTGGACACAAACCCCTGGTGTTTGGGGATTAATTTTCCTGACAGAATCCAGGCTCCACTGGAATCCAAGCCATTCACCTGCTGAAGTTGCCGCAATCCCCTTTACCTGGGCAGAATTTGGGCATCTCTCAGGATATTTCAGCCTCAGCTCTGATTACCCACCAAGCACAGCCTAGATGTGTTTTTCTCCTGCTCAGGGTGTTTAAAGGCAGAGGAGACAGTTTTGAGGTCTGCAGGCAGCTTGGGAGGGCTGTGAGCCTGGCTCAGCTGTTAGGAGAGGCTCATAACAGAACAGAGTTCTCAGTGAGGGCAAGGGTGGCATCACTGCCAGGCTCCAGCAGCCCCCGAGCTGCTCTCCTGCAGGAAACACTGCAGCTGCTCCTGTGCTGGTCAGGGCTGGGCATGAATAAATTTATTAAATCTATGGAAATAAATAAAAGCCATTGCAGAGCCTTTGGAATGGAATAAATTGAACATTCCCAGCTCATCTCACACACCAGGAACTGCTGGACAGCCACAGCTCTTCCTTTCAGGGAACATCAGGAATTGGGCTCCTGATGGGCTTTGGGCTTCACTCTCAGCCTGCCCACCCCAATCCCTCCTGGCAGGGCACCCAAGGGTGAGGAATGAGGACAGTGGCCCCAATGGCCTCCAACACCCCACAGAGGGGCTGCAATCAGCACTGAGCACTGACTGATTTGTGGGGTGAACCCTCTGGAACTCCCAGAACAGCATCCACAGCTGTCCATGTGGATTTTTAGGGATGGGAGTGAGAACTGGAGCTCCAAGGTCCAGTTCTCCAACCCAGAGAGGCAGAGACCTCCTGTGCTGAGGTACCTGGGATAAATCCCACTGCAGGGGCTCCCAAATCCCAAATGCACACATCCACTCCTGCTCCAGCACAGTGCCAAGAGCCTGAGGATTCCAAAGCTCCCAGGGCTGGAAAAATCCCAGTACCTGCCCTGGGAGCGCCCTGTTTTTCCTGTGTCCTGGCAATCCCAGCACTTCCCCAGAAAAAACAGGAACCTGGAACACCCCATCTCTGAGGGATCATTTCCCAAAGCTGAAAATCCCAGCACCCCTGGGAGCACTGGGCTGCTCCGGGATCCAGGTTATCCCAGCCTTTACCACTTCTCCACAAAGAACAGAAATAATTTCCCACCTGGACACTCTGCCTCAGAGGGAATCATTCCCCAATTGTCTCAAGAAAGACAAGCTCTCCTGAGTTTTTTGAGTGACATCTTTCTCAAATGATGTTCTTCCCCACAAAGAACAGCAACCTGGAACTCTCTGTCTCAGAGAGAACCATTCCCCAACACCCGGGGCTGGAAAAATCCCATTATCTGCCTCAGGACTGCCCTGCTTTTGCCCTATCCAGGTCATCCCAGCACTTCTTTACTTCCCCACAAAGAACAGGAATAATTTTCCACCTGGARCACTCCCACCTCACAGGGAATCATGTCCCAAATGGCCTTAAAAAAGCAAGATTTCAGCTTTTTGAATGACAGCTTTCTCAAATGATTGAAGGCAATTCAAAGGCAGCAGCATCTTCCCCACAGTTTAAACTCTAAATGAGATTTTTTTTTCCTATGGAGTTCTTCCCTTTGCATTCAAATTTGTTCTTTAAAACGCTGCTATTGTTGGGAAGAAAGGAGCATTATCCTGGAGCTGCCAGGCTCACAATCGTGACAAAGCTGCCACAATGGCAAACCTTAATTGACAGATTATCTCTGCCATAAAACACACAAAAACCTCTGCCATAAAATACACAAAAAAGCTCTCCTCTCTGCTCCATAAACTCCCAACAACTCCAAACCCATTTCTTCCATCTCAGAAGCTTCTCCAAGTCCTCCAGTTTAACACTCCCAGGCACATAAGGGAGGTTTTTTGGCTTCAGATATAACTCTAAACTTTTAAATTCTCCCAGATGTAACTCTGAACTTTTAAATTACCTCAGATGTAACTTTGAACTTTTAAATTGCCCTAGATGTAACTCTGAACTTTTACATTGTCCCAGGTATCTCTAAATTGTCCCCCGTACCTCCAGTGCTTCTGTCGGTCATGACAGAAAAAAAAGATTTCTCAAACCAGCTAAGGTCTAGACAGAAAAGACTATTTTCTAAACTTAACAAGTTTATCTTGTCATTTCTAGGGTCCAAAGGCTGATGAMAAAGTTAAAATAACTCTTGTTTCTCAGGGGTGTAACACTATAAATACATCCCAGAGCATCACACATGGTTTGATTTCTTTGAAGAGTCATAAAGTTTTAAATTCTTYAAGCACAGGCACTGATGTCAAGTTTTGGGGTGGTTTAGGTGTCCCTGGGTGTTATTTCCAGTTCAAATCTCTAAAACCTCAGTCAAGCACAGCCTAAAGGGGGTTTTCTTTGGCAGAGCTGAGAGAAAGAAAAAAAAAATTGTGGCCAAGAGTTGGTGTTTCCTGGAAATGTTTCCTGGGCTCCCTGTGAAATCGTGCACTTCCCTGGTGCTCTCTGCATTTTGGTGCTGCTCAAAAAACAGCTCCAGCAGCCCTGAGCTGATGCAGATAGGCCAAGAAGTAGTGTTTTCCTTCAAAATAGGCGTGTTTCCTTCAAAAAAGGAATGTTTCCTTCAAAAAAGGAGTGTTTTCCTCCAAAAAATGAGTGTTTCTTTCAAAGAAAGGAGCGTTTCCTTCAAAAGCGTGTTCTTCCTTCAAAATACTCTGGTAAAAACACACTATAAAAAAAAATCCTCTAACAGCACATTCTTCCTTCAAAATTACTCTGTTAAAAGCATCATTTGTGTTTGGGAGCGGTTTCCTCCCCATCTGCTCTGGTTGTTCCTCCTCACCAGAGCCCCCAGCAAGCACCAGACTGGAATTATGTCATTTCACCCCAAACATCTCAAAAAAGGAGCAATATTTGTGTTTTGTGAGTGCTTCCCTCCCTATTCCTCTGTTTTTTTTCTCCTCACCAGAGCCCCTAGCAAGTGCCAGAGGAGAATTATCCCATTTCACCCAAAACACCCCAAAAAAGGAGCAATATTGGAGAGACTCCTTCCCCATTTGCTGTTTTTTCTCCTCACCAGAACCCACAGCAAGTGCCAGATCTGGAATTATGTCATTTCACCCAAAACATCTCAAAAAAGGAGCAGTATTTGTGTTTTGTGAGTGCTTCCCTCCCTATTCCTCTGGTTTTTGCTCCTCACCAGAGTCTCCAGTAAGTGCCAGAGCGGAATTATCCCATTTCACCCAAAACACCCCAGAAATGGAGTAGTATTTGTGGTTTTGAGTGGTTCCCTCCCTTTTTGCTCTGTTTTTTTCTCCTCACCAGAGCATCTAGCAAGTGCCAGAGCAGAATTATCCCATTTCACCCAAAACACCCCAAAAAGGGAGCAACAATGGAGTGGCTCCTTCCCCATTTGCTGTTTTTTCTCCTCACCAGAACCCACAGCAAGTGCCAGATCTGGAATTATCCCATTTCACCCAAAACACCCCAGAAATGGAGTAATATTTCTGTTTTTGAGTGGTTCCCTCCCGTTTTGCTCTGTTTTTTCTCCTCACCAGAGCCCCTAGCCAGAGCAGAATATTATCCCATTTCACCCAAAACACACCAAAAAGGGAGCAATAYTGGAGTGGCTCCTTCCCYRTYTGYTGTTTTTTCTCCTCAYCAGAGCCCACAGCAAGTGCCAGATCTGRAATTATCCCATTTCACCAAAACATCCCAAAAATGAGCAGTATTTGTGAGTTTGTGAGTGCTTCCCTCCCCATCTGCTCCACTTTTTCTCCTCCCCAGAGCCCCCAGCAAGCACCAGACCAGAATCTCCCCAATTTCACCCCAAAAGCAGTGGGATTTCTCACCTAACGTGGCGGCTGCCGCCAGCCCGGCCGCGTAGGGATCCGTCCCCGGAGGCGCCGCGCTGATGATGTAGGGGTTGGGGACRAAGGCAGCGGGGGCTAAACCTGCTGGAAACAGCCCTGGTCAGTGCAAACAGCCCGCCTGAGATCCCACAACCCCCCCAAAACATCAAAAACCCTGCCACAATCTCACAAACCCCGCCACAACCCCACAAACCCCGCCACAACCCYGCAAACCCCACCACAACCCCACAAATGCTGCCACAACCCCACAAACCCCGCCACAACCCCATAAACCCCACCACAACCCCTCTCCCCCACCAAACTCAGGAGATTTGGGTTTTTTTAGCTTTTTTACAGGTGGTTTTTATAGGGACTGAACAAGCAGGGAGTGTAACAGGCAGAGGAGAACCTGCATGAAAAACCTGCCATAAAAAAAACCCAAATTCCAAGGATGTCATGTTCCTAGAGGGGTAAAATCCTTTCTAKCCCATAGTAGACAGGCCCTGTTCAGGGGACCAGAGGCTGTCATTGCTCTGCATTTCCTACAGTGAGTAAATCAGGACCCAATTGCACCCAAACTGGACCCAAATCGGGACCCAACTGCACCCAAATCAGGATCCAATGGGACCCAAATCAGGACCCAATCGCACCCAATCACACCTAAATCAGGACCCAAATCGGGATCCAATGGGACCCAAATTGTACCCAAATCGGGACCCAATTGTACCCAAATCAGGACCCAATTGTACCCAAATCAGGACCCAATCGCACCCAAACTGGACCCAATCGCACATAAAAGGGACCCAAATCGGGACCCAATCACACCCAAACTGGACACAAATCGGGATCCAATGGGACCCAAATTGGGACCCAATCGCACCCAAATCAGGACCCAGCTGTACCCAAATTGGGACCCAATCGCACCTAAATCGGGACCCAAATCAAGATCCAATCAGGACCCAATCGCACCCAAATCAGGACCCAAAGCGCCCCATTCTGAGCTCCCCGCGCAGCACGGGATCCCAGAATTCCAACGGGATGGTTTGGGAAGAGTTCAGGAGTACAGAAGGATTCCCTTTCTAGGAAGGGAACAGTTTAATAATCAGAGAAAGCCCAGGGGGACGGGAGGGGTGGAGAAGGTGATGGGGAGGAAGTGAAAAAGTGAAGTAATTTCCACCCCTGAACTCCAGTGCACAGGGCTGGGAGAGTCCCACCACATTGATTTTGGGATTTTGGGTGGGAAGAACTACCCCTACTACAAATTACTTATTGTGCTAAAAACACTAAACTTTCATCATCTAGGAGCAGCTGCAAGGAGTTCCCTTCTATCATTCTCCTGATTTTCCACACACAGGATTAAGCATTTTATTCCCAGTTAATATATAATTTTTTATGAACAGAGTATCTTTTAAAAATATCCATCATTGCACAATTCCATCYGTGACTGATCACACCCCAGGCAGTGCCCCTGAATTGTGCATTTCTGATTTTCCTGCTGTCACCCTKACTCCTGCCTCACTCAGAGCCTCCCAAAGCCCCTCCTGAGCAGCACCCAAAGGACAGTGATGGGGTCAGCAGAGTCCTTTAAAGGGTTTTAAAGTGTGCAAAAAGCACCCCCAGAATGTTTCAAGCAAATCTTTAACAATGCACTCTGCTTGTGCACTGATAATCATCATAATACACTTTATCTATGAATCAGTAAATTTATAAAATAAATAAATCTACAATATAATATTAAAATATACAATTATATTATAAACTGATAGTTATAAAGCAAATAAATCTATAAATTTATGTATTTATCATAATACATTTTGTTTATAAACAAATTTTAATAATTAACCTATAATAATATATAATAATTATGATTATGACATAATGTGATAAGAATTTATAATGCAAATAAATTTATAAATTTATGTATTTATCATCATAAGACACTTTGTGTATAAATAAATTTATAGTAWAAATAAATCTATAATAATACACATTATAAGTGTAATAATTAAAATGTTATATGAATTTATAATAGAAATATAAATTTATGTATTGATCATAATACACKTTATGTATTTATAAATACATTTATAATATAAATTATTGCTAATATAATAAAGTATCTGATAATTATATGATATAGATTTGTAAAATGTTAATAAATTTATGAATTTAAGTATTCATGTATTTATCATAACTTTATATTTATAAATAATTTTAAAATTCAAATTAATTTATAAAATAACAATATAGTATATAATAATTACAATATGAAAATATAGTAAGTATTTATAATATAATAGAAATATTTATAAATTTATGTATTTACGTATTTATCACCATAATACGTATTTATTCATACTTTATTTATGAATAAATTTATAATTTAAATACATTTATAATATGTAATAATATAATATAAATTTACAATAGAAATAAATTTGTAGATTTATGTATTTATCACAATACACTTTATGTGCATTAAGGATTTCACAGCATCCAAAATCCAGCTGAAACCCTTCCCAGCTTCCTTCCCCAGTGTTTTTGGGGTGGGTCAGGGTGGGGGCAGGGGCAGGGGCAGACTCACACTCACCTATGTGGGGCTGGTGGGCAGCGGCCAGGGCGTACTGCTGCTGTTGGGCTGCGGTCAGCTGCTGCACTGCCAGGGCGTTGGGCCTCTGGAACAGCTGTGGGCAGAGCACACACATCCTTAAAGTGGGCACAGGAACACAAATCCTGCCCTTCAACTGAGCAGAGCACACACATCCTTAAA